TTTCGTATAAGACCTGTCCTTCTTAGTTTGAGGCCAAGGCTAAGAAGGAAGTAAAGTGATCCTAACATATTGGCCAGGAGACAAGATCCTAAAGGGTATGCAATGACAGAGGACTAGTAACAGGGGACAAGCAGAGTTAACGTTTGAAAGGAAGCAGGTGGGAAGGCACGTGACTTTTTCCAGAGAAAAGATGTCTCTGTTAGGTATACGCTGTTTCCACAGCAAAACTAGGGGCAGTCAGGAAGTAGAGGAGATCAGCTCCACTGTGGTTCATTCAAATCTCTTGATGTCCCAGAGCATTGGTCATTACTATGGAGATGCCACCATAGGTCACATGGCGCAGCAGCCACTCAGATTTGGGCTTCATTCTCTCATTCCTTGTGACTTAACCTGCTCTCTCCTTGTATCAACGTTGTCTTCACCACTGTCATAGAAAGGCTTTTAGCCAGGTCAACTTATGGAGCACTGGACACCTATAGAGTGCTTTGACTCAGGAATCAATCCTAGTCCAATCAGTTGTGGCCAGTTAGTAGGGTCAAAAAACCAGGTGACATTTCTGCAAAGATTCATTTCTGACCACCTTTTAAAAACGGAACACAGGCATGGCAAACATTCAATGTTTCCTAGACATCTTTCTGGCATGAGACCTTACCGATAGATGGGATTTATCCCAGCTGTAAAGCCTTAAAGATCCCAAATTGAGATGTTCTCTTTATAACTAAAATATCCATGAGACTGTCACGTAAACAGGTTGTTTTTCTAAGATTCAACATGTCTCTCCCTTGGACAAAGAAAAAAATTTAAAGAAAAAATAAATAAATGAAATACCGTGCTTCTTTCGATAAAATTCTTTTAAGTTGTATATTGGTTCCTATACATCACACCTCTTAGGCACCACTGTATCCTCTCAGCCCATCTTTTTACTCTAGCCATTGACACGGCAACCAGATGTGCAAGCTGACATCAGCACCTTCCCCAGTGGCTATTCCAATTCATGGGCAAACCTGGAAGTTCAAGGGAGTTAACATTCCAGGGAACACTTTAACTATTCTAGGGTACATTGTGCAAGACTCCTCAAAGGGTCCCCAGAAGGACTGAGTCCCTGTATCCCACAGCAGTGACCAGCTCAATAATACACCCTTGGATTGGTTCTCCCACCTTCCTTGTTTCACAGTTCTATTCCCTGGGATCACTTTCCAGAGTGAATGGTCTCCATAAAAGCCCTTCTTTGAGGCTCTACTTGTGGGGGTTACCCAGTTCAAGACAACCATGCCTTCCAATCAAGATAGTCTTTCTTTAATCAAGTAGTTCTTGTGATCCAGGAAACATGTATCACTCTTTAACTTGTTAAATTGATGCTTAACTTTTAATTTAATTAAATTTAATTTTTTTTGAGATGGAGTCTTGCTCTGTTGCCCAGATTGGAGTGTGGTGGCACGATCTCAGCTAACTGCGACCTCCACCTCCCAAGTAATTCTCTTGCCTCAACTTCCCAAGTAGCTGGGACTATAGACATGCACCACCACACCTGGCTAATTTTTGTATTTTTAGCAGAGACGGGGTTTCATCATGTTGCCCAGGCTGGTCTTGAACTCCTGACCTCAAGTGGTCTGCTTACCTCGGCCTCCCAAAGTGCTAGGATTACAGGAGTGAGCCACCACACCCGGCCCAGATACTTAACTTTTAGGGAGCAACACTGTTTGCTTTTATTCTAAGTATGTTATTAGCATATATTTTTTACTCCAATATAGCTCGGTAAGTGAAAGAGAATGGAGGCTGAGCAGCAGTCTTGTGAAAAAAGCTCAATGCCAGATCTCCAAGCTTTACTGCATCTTTGAACCAGTAATTCTTAGCGCTTGGTTATGACCTTCACAGAGAAGGTCTGTGAAGACACTCACCACCTACCAGCCTGCTATATTCAATTCTTCATGTGTTTAGTTAGGTACAAGGGGTCTTTCCAAAGTCCCCCGTCATTTTGTTATACACTCACGGTTGAAAAGCATAGCTTTAGATCCATCAGTCTACCCAAGAAGGAAACTGTATCCAACCAGTTAGTGCTATCTCAACTGAAATATAGTAAAGAAGACAATTGACGCTTCAAAATGAGTATGACGAAAAATTTAAGTTGGCTTTCTACAAAACAGCATAGGAGCATTCTGTTTGCTGAGTAAGTGTAACAGGATTGTCAATTCAGAATTAAAATAAAAATTACAAGAATCCATTCATCTATTATTTTTTAGACATTATGATGGCTTAGGCACCACAGGAGATACGGAGGATGAAAAGATGAATAGAAAACCATCTCTGCTTTCAAGAATAGATGACAATAATACCAGTGTATTGAATGGGATGTAAATAAATCACTTTATTTTTTGTCTTCCACTGTTCATTTAGACCTGCTCAGTGAGAGAAGTTTCTACATTTCTTGTATTTGAAAACCCTGGCAGGTCTATGACTCTATCATCAATTGCTCTTAAATAAGCGACAATCCTATGACTTCCTGGAGTCACAAACCACAGTCTCAATTCAGTAATTTGGATGTCCAATACTGTGGAATAATCAAGTCTCTGAACTTGATTTAGAGCTCAGTCTTCTCCCCTCTTCCAGTTAAGACCAGCTTCAGGGACAGCTGTGCAGTCTTGCAGGGGGCATGTGGTAAGCTTTTCCTTTCCTTCTGTACTCCTTCCTTGCTTAGCTTAAACCATGGATTCTGGGACTTTATGGGTTGGGTGTGGAAAGAAATGAGGGAAAGTGGTTTACTGAACACTCCTACTTGACTGGTCTTCTTATAAGATAGTTTTATATGATCCAAGCCTGGCTGTTATGAGAACTCACTCTTTCTTGTGAGGACACTTTTGGGTGTTTTTTTTTTTTTCAGAGACTCTCCCTCTGGCTGTAACCTTGACTGCCACAAAACAGGCAGTGCCTCTCCTTTGGGTAGACAATTTTAATCCCTGCTTAGCATATATTTTCCGGCAGTTGCTGTGGCAGCCCCTAACTCTCTGGTCAAAACTATCTCGAGCAGAATTGAGGGTTTTGATTCTTCAGAGGTGTGTCAAGCTCTCAAAGGGGTTTTCTTGATGTTCCTCTCGCTAGACTTGGAGTGAGAAGGCAGCGTCGCCATCCCTCCCTTTTGTGCTGTGTTGGACCCAGAGAATGGCAGCTCTCTCTAAAGAGATCTCTTTACAAATCTGCCCCTTCGAAAACCCTCTCCACTACTTTTATATTCTCAGAACTGATGAGGGGTTACAACAGAAAAAAAACCTTTTTTTTAAAATATCTTTCCTTTGAAGTTTTCTATTTTTGTCTATCTCAGGACTCACCTTGGTAACTGATATTTAACGTAACTTGGCACCTCAGTCAAATCATGTAACTTAACAAGATGACACAATTGCAATATCATGTGGTCAGCACAGAACAAGAGGTCAATGTATGTGACATTGGGAAAGCAAAGAATAGGGGCACCTCACTCAGCTGGAGAATGAGTGATCCAGGACATTTTTGGAGAAGGCGATTCCTTTTTTTTTTTTTTTTTTTTTTGACAGTCTCACTCTGTCGCCCAGGCTGGAGTGTGATCTCAGTTCACTGCAACCCCCGCCTCCCAGGTTCAATTTCCTGCCTCAGCCTCCCCAGTAGCTGGGACTACAGGCACATACCACCATGCCTGGTTAATTTTTGCATTTTTTATAGAGATGGGATTTCACCATGTTGCCTAGGCTGGTCTCCCGAGCTCAAGCGATCTGCCTGCCTCAGCCTCCCAAAGTGCTAGGATTACAGGTGTGAGCCACTGTGGCCAGCCCTTGACTCTTTCTTAGCAGATGCATTAGAGCTAACAATGTGATCAACTTTTAGGGAGAGTTTTTTGGAGAAGATGCTGAAGACACCCCATGCCATGTACATTTTTAGAGAGATTTAAAAACATGGTTACAAAGAAAATCTTGGTGGGTTCTTTAATTTTCCCATTTAGTCTCTGCTATGGATCGAATGTATCCCCCAAACTTCATGTGTTGGAACTTTGATACCCAGTGCAATGGTTTTGTTGAGACCTAATGAAAGATGTTTGGGTCATGAAGGCACCACTTTCATAAATGGGTTAATACTCTTATTGTGGCAGTGGGTTTGTTATCACAGGAGTGGATTCCTTATAAAAGGATGAGTTTAGCCCTCTCTTGCTCTCTCTCACCCATGTGATGCCTTCTGCCACACAGCAAAAAGGCCCTCGCAAGATGCCAGTTCCTTGAACTTGGACTTCCCAGCCTCCACAATCATGAGTCAATAAATTTCTGTTCGCTATAAATTACTGAGTCTGTGACATTTTGTTATAGCAACACAAAATAGAGTAAGACAGTCCCTAAATTTCCCATAAATTCATACATGTTAATGCCACTGTAAAATCAGAAACTGCATACTATTATTAATTAATCTTGGGAGATTTCTTCAATTTCACTTATGCTGAGAATAAGCTTCATTTTTTAAACGAGAGTATAAGAATGACCATTTATGGATTTAAAAGACATCCCGATGAAAGCTGACGGTGGGAGTCGAGAGGTATGAGTGCTTTGAGATGATGATATCATTTAAAAAATAGTCCAAATAAAATTTAATGGACTGTGAAACTGCAGTTTCAAATTAATGAGTGTACCTAGTAAAAAGCTTTGCACCAAGAAGGAATATTAAATGTCAACTGAAATTTTATAATTAGCTTAATAGTTTAAGCATCTTGCTTCTTAATATGTCATTTATTTTGACAGGTATTTTTTGGGGTAGTGAAGGCAAGGAACTGTGTCTTTTAGCATTCTTACCATATCATTATAAATCATTTTCAACATGCTCACACATATGCCACCATGATAGATCATGCAATCAGAATGCATGCGGCATCCAGGCTTCAAGGAAATTTTGACTAACTGCTTTAAAGTCACAATTATTTACCTAATACTGGATCTTGATTTGATCTGTTCAAAGCTTGAAAGTCATTATCCAAAAGAAAAGACAGCAGATATGGTCAATCAACTTTTATTTTTAATTACCCAAATGTGTACTGTTCTTTGTATGAAGATACAATGGAGGATACAAAAGGAAGAAGAGATAAAATTTCTACCATCCAAAAAGCTAAAATCAGCTGGAGACACTGCACAAAACAGTAAGACTTAAGGCTATATACTGAGTAGCATTTGAGTAGTGTAAGACAACTTAGCACAAAGTAAATCCACACAAGGGGACACCATCAGTGACAATAACAGGGAGTGAAGGAGGATAATTGGGGAATACATCCAGGGAGGTGGGAAAGGCGTTGGATTTGTGTTCTAGTCCCCGAGATACCAGTGGCTTATTGCAGCTCTTAGGTAATTAAGTTCCACCTCTGTTGGCTTCAGTTTGCTCAACTCTAAAACAGGTGAGGACTAAATGGTCTTTAATGTCTTTCAGCTGTAACAATACAGTATTCTAAGGACAAATGCAAAGAACTTGGGAAGGTGAGGCTATTACAGGTAAGAGGAAGAACAAGCACAAAATCACAGTGATAGGAAAAAACTCATTGCTTGTGCATGGGCAAGGTGTGTTGTGGGGCAGCAAGGACCTTGAACAAGCCTATTTAACTATTCTAAAGATTCTGAGGGCAATAAACTTGGAAACTGTTGAAACAGAACGCTAAGCCAGGTGAGGGACACTAAGCAGTGGCCACAATGGACAAAGAGATACCATGTATTTTACAGTCAGAGTTGGACTTATCTTCACGCTCCCTGCCTCACTCCACATTATTTGTCTTCATAGAACTTTACTGCAACTCTTTCCCCAAACCCATACTCCAAATACCGTAAGAAGAGAGTGTGATTGCAGACACCTTCTCTCTTTAGACTCGCATGAGTAGCCCCCTTTTGTGGGCCAGGAAGCCAAGAGCCGTTGCTGAAAAAATGGTGGTCAATCCAATCAGCCTGAGCAGGCCTGGCACGGAGGGCAAATATCTCTCCAAGAAGGTCGTGGTGATGGGCAGCGCAGGGACGTCCTGGGTTCAGAAAACATTGGATATTAGTACAGGGCTTGTGCACTTTATTCCAGAAAGTCTGTACTTCCTCCAGCTCTCTGAACGTGACCCATTCTTGCCAACCTCTAGACCATTAAACACGATGTTCCCTCTGCTTATACTGTTTACTCTGTCTTCCTCACTGGACCCTTCACTTCCTCAGGGGGGCTTTCTTTCCTGAGCCCCCAGCCTAGGATGACATTTTCCTTTTGCATTTTTTTCTCAGCATGTCTTCTTCACTATTCTGTACTTTTTGGTTATCATCTGCATTCTCCACCAGATGTTGAGCTCCACAAAAAATGCTGCTGTGTCTTTGCCACAATGGCTGATGCAGAACACGTGTGCCATAAACACTTGTTAGTAAATGAATCAGTGGTCCTCACAGCCCACAATCCCATCCCTGGCAGAAGCACCAAGAGAATGACTTTGGAGTGGCAGGCCTATTCTCTTTGACTTCACACTTAAAAGGATAGAGCAATAATTCTGACTTTTGTGACCTTGTCCTCTAAAGTGTGTTTTCACTCTAACCTCTATGCATCCCTCCTTCCAGCCGGGAAAACTTCCTAGGATTTTTTTACAAAAATTATGAGTATATTAAAAACAAAATTTTAATATAAATATTCTCCATTTCATTCCCTCTGTTTGTCCCTGGACAGGAGATGCTAACACACTTTCCTTTCTTTTCCTACCTCTTGTTGAGAATCACCAGGCTAGATATGTATTCGACTGGCATTTATTGAGTTATTATTTTTAGAAGTCTCTGAGAAATGTCTCCCTCCTCATCAAAAAATATTTTTTCCTAATAATCTGTAATGAATGTGGCAGCTACAAATTTATCAAAGTTCATCTCAATCTCTCACCTCTGCCCTAACCCATGATACTTATTTAAATATTCATGTTGAGATCAATTAGGTAAATCACTTAGTTGACTCACTTAGGAAAAGGTATGTGAATATATACAAGTGTGCTCTTCTTGCAAATGATGGGTTTTGGAGAAAAGATATCTAATTTCATGAAATAAAACAGCCTACCACAGACTCTGGTTCTGACTGCCAGACTTCATCCTCTGGAATCTTCCCCATGGCATGCAGGATCTGAAACAAAAGAACACATTGGCAAATAGCAAAAGTGACACCATCTTTCTTCTAATCTGCTCCCTAAATAAAGGACTAAGTAACTGTCTCTTGAGATATCCATCAAAAACACCAAGGTAAAGGCCAGAACACTCCACTCAACCTTTAAGTGGCACCAAAAGGTCTTTCTCCTGTGGTATAAGAGGTTCCAATCATTAGGCTTCCCATAAATTTTAATAGTTGTGAACACACCTCAGATAGAGATGAGATCAGAGGAACTGTCAGAAAATGTTTCCTGTGAAATGAATTGAATTTTGAGTCCTAATAGAAGCATGTTTGGTTCTAGAATATCAGACCTAGGTTATATTTCAAGTATAGTCAGGTTGATCATTTGTCCCATGGGTTCTTTTTACCTTGGGTGACACGTTAGGTATTTTCATTATTACTTCGGGCTAAGGTATTCACTTCACCCGAGACAATAGTTAAAATGGTACTTTATGGGTCTTAATATGAGGGTTACTTGAGAGTTGGTCTCCAGGCTCTCAGATATCTTTGACCCACATGTCCGGACCATGAGTTGCCTCCTTCCCCATAATCTGTGACCCCGGACTCTACCTCTCGGGCCGCTCTCTCCCCGGCCTCTACAGCCCCCTCCATGTAGCCGCTCCAGTGTGTGGCAGTCTCGGTGCCTGCAAAGTAAATCCTGTCCACTGGCTGGCGTAGAACCCTTGGAATAAAAGCAAAGAGGCAAAAGTGGTCAGTCTCAGAGAGTCAGAGAAAAGTTTTCCCATAAAGACCAACGCTGGTCAGCTTCCTCAGATTCTAAACAATCAAGAAGGACACTGGCAATTTTGGAATAACGTTTATGTGGTTCCTCCAGCTCTTGCATGATCCTTGTCACAAACAAAATGGAATAAAAGCCAAAGTTCATTCCTGCACCAAGAGTTGCAGGTGAAGGAGCTGACATTAATGGACGTAAATTATGTATCTGCTTCACCAACATGAAGTGAGGGACTGTATAAGCCCAGTCACATGGCTCCCTTTATGGCTCACTGGCTCTGTGGTTATTCCACTAGTGAACTTGGCAAATCACTTCCCCTCACTATGCTCTGGCTTCCTTGCCTCTTAAAGCAAATGGTCCACTGATTTCTAAGACCCTTTCCATCAGTAAAATTTAACAAATCTGAGAGTCTGACTATGGCTCCATGACTACTATTCCTTGAACACTTGCCTGTACTGGTGAGGTCGGTACTATTATTATCCCCATTTTGCAGATGAGAATATAGAGGTGGACTGTGGTGGACATTGTGATGAACCACGCAGGCCCCCTTCAAGAATGAAAGACTTATTCCCAGCTGCTGGGAGTGCTGCCAGAAGAGGGCCTACTGATGTCAGCCCTCTTTGGAGATTGCCTCTGCTAAAAAAAACTATGTCACCTAGGTCATGCCTCCTTCCAGTAGCAGTTGCATCCAGTGACTGATCACCATAGGCTGTAAATACCCGATTCCCAAGCTCCAACTTGAGACCACCCACTCTGAAGGGCCATTCTAGTTCTGGAACTCCCTCTGGGGTCAGCTGAGGCCTTCTCTGGAACTGCATTGCAGCCCAAGTTCTCCCTATGCCCACTCCTGCTTCCTTCTCCCTTCCACAGCTGCCAATCCTAAGGGCATGCCTTAATATATATCCTGTCTGCTAACCGTTGTTTCAGGGTCTGCTTTCTGGAACCTAACCAGCAACAAAGACAAAGTAATTTGCTCTCGGTCACAGCTAGCAAGTAGCAGAGTTGATATTTGAACACAGGCAATCTGACTCTGGAACCTACAGTCTTAACCACTTAGTTACACTTCCTCTCTACTGCATTACTTCTTCAATCTTTTAAATAACTCTGTGACATAGCTACTATTATCAATTAAAATTATCATGATCTAATTTTACACATGAGGAAACTGAGGCTTGGAGAAATGTTCAGTGATATGCCAAGAGCCACACTCCTAGAAAATAGCAAAGCCAGGATTTGAACCATGTCTACCAAATGTCAAAGTCTCTGTTTTCATTTTATATTCTTTGCCTGGTGTATCATCACCCTATAATATTTAATAGCTAGTAGAGTGCCCACATGCTATATGAGGGACTGAAATGTCATAGCACATGGCCTGTAAGAGGGGCAGCTCATTGTTGCTCTGACAAAAATACCTTAAGGAAAGCACCATCAACACGCCATTATTCATTCTGTCTCAGGATTCTCTTATATCTGATAAGCGATGTCAAGAGCTAACACCCATGCTCCATCTTAGTCAACACTGTACACCACTGGGCCTTTTATTAGAAAACCAAACGAGCTGGCTTGCATTGGCGGGTTTTCTTTCACCTGCTCTGATTGCAGTCATCAAAAAGAGGAGAAGAAAATACAAGGAGAGATATTATATAGAATACAGATGGTCTCCGACTTATAAGTTTTAACTTTATGATGGTGTTAAAGCAATACACATTCAGTAGAAATCATACTTCAAGTACCCATATAACCATTCTGTCTGTCACTTTCAATACCGTATTTAAAACTTGACATGAGATATCCAACCCTCTATTATAAAATACGCTTTCTGTTAGATTATTTTGCCCAACTGTAGGCTAATATAAGTGTTCTGAGCACGTTTAAGGTAGCTAAGCTAAACTATGATATTTGGTAGGTTAGGTGTATTAAGTGCATTTTGCACTTAAAATATTTTCAATTTGTGGTGGGTTTATTGGGATATAACCACATCATATTTTGAGGAACATCTGTATTAGTATATTGATGACAACACATGAAATAAATCTGTAATTATGGAAAGTCTAAGGGTACTCAGGAAGGAACCCTTCCTGCAAGAGAAGGTGGATTGACTTTCCCCATGTTGATTAAACAATGTCATTTTTCACTACATGTTTACTTTTTTTCCAACGAAGAAAACTAACCCCAGTTGGAGACCTCTGGGAGGCCTGGCTAGACCCTAAGAATGAAATATTAGAAGAAAGAACAAAGGCTTAAAGAACTAATCATACTATCAATCAGAAAATGTAAAAACCAAGAATTAATTTTAAACAAAGAGATAGTTTCCCTCCACTTGTCATTTGGAAATTATGTTCCTTTAGGGGAAAAAAATGTCCAACAACCAGGTAAGAAAAACACCTGCCCCTTCTTTTGCAGGTGCGTGAACAGACAGTATATATTTACAAAAGATTATAGGACACCACCAAGTAGAACTCCACACATATTTCTTGTGACTTATGAGTTTTACTGCATAATCACGACAATCATTTTTTCACTCTATCCAGAAGAAAACTTTCTTGAGAAATGTACATTTAGTTCTTTACCAAGTTGTACTGTTAATTCTGTCTTCTCTCTTCCTTTAGAACATGTCCTGTGAACTTCCAGGGCTCTGAATATAAAACTTATTGCAATATCTGAAATGCCATGGCCCTGAAGAGTCAAGAGAAGTTGTCTGGGCAGGTAGTCTCTGTTCAAGCTGGGAGTTATGTTAAGCTAAATTGTGCCTTAGAGTCTACCCTACAAATTGAAGGTAGTGATAGGAAGCCTTACATATATCCCTGGGAAGGAATAAAGATAAAAGAAGGCATTACTGTATCACCCCCAGTGCCAGATACGATGGGATTTATCTTGCTTCTCTCACGTGGTCAGGATCAGGCCAGTCCAGGTAAGTGTCCTCTTTGCTCCCCAAACCAAAAGGTATTTTCCTGACACTCTTTATGAAATTGAGCATAAAACTCACCACTCTGTGGTCATAAATCTAATCATATCACACTTCTGATTTAAAACAAAGCCAAAAACAAAAGTAATGCAGTGACAGCTGTTCTCTGTTGAAATATCAAGTTTTGTATTCCTGAATGTGTCATATAGGGCAAAGGGTCCTTCCTCCCCCTTTAGTCTGATTCTCCATTCTGTCCTTAATATCACCCATAGCCCATCTGATATAATTTTGACATTTGTCCCCACCCAAATCTCATGTAGAATTGTAATTCCCAGTGCTTGAGGTGGGGCCTGGTGGGAGGTGTTTGGATCATGGGGGCGGATCCCTCATGGCTTGGTGTCTTCTTCATGATAGTGAGTTCTCACAAGATCTGGTCTCATAAGAGTGTATGGCACCTCTCCCCACCACACTTGCTTGTTCCTGCTTTCACCGTGTTTAACTTGCCTGTTCTCACTTTGCCTTCTGCCATGATTGTGAGCTCCCTGAGGCTTCACCAGAAACTGAGCAGATGCCAGCACCATGCTTGTATAGCCTGCAGAACTGTGAGCCAATTAAACCTTTTTTCTTTATAAGTTCCCCAGACTCAGGTCTTTATTTTAAGCAATGCAAGAATGGGCTAATACATCATCCATGCAAAGTTCTTCCCCAGACCTTCCAGAAACCTGTAGGATCCTAGCATTTTCCTCATACCATTCCATCTGCATAGACTGCATCCCCAATAGCCTTTCTCTGCCTCCTACAACCCTCAGGTGGTATGTGCATTATGAAGCCTTCTCAGATTTCTCTAAGTAAGGCTAGCCTGTGCCTCAGTGTTTCCCAGTGGTATCTCTATGCCCCTGTATTACAGCATTTACCTCAGTGTTAACATTCTGAGTGGTGATACAGTAGTGCCCTCTTTTATCCTTATTCCCTCCCAGGGACATATGTCAGTACTGTAGAGTCAATTTTTGATGTCATGTCCTCTCCCCATCCCCACCCTAGCCTTCAACACTGTCAGCTCCTTCTCAGCAGGGAGGGTGTCCTTGGTATTGAAGTTTTCAGCACAGTGCTTGGCAAATGGTTGGCACTTAGCCAATAAACGCAGACTGAAACAAATACCATTGACATATTCTACACTCAGTGATACGGTTTGGCTCTGTGTCCCCACCCAAATCTCATATTGTAGCTCCCATAATTCCCACGTGTTGTGGGAGGGACCCGTTGGGGGATGAGTGAATCATGGGCGCGGGTCTTTCCTGTGCTGTTCTCGTGATAATGAATGGATCTCACAAGATCTGATGGTTTTAAAAATGGGAGTTTCTTTGCACAAGCTCTCTCCTTGCCTGCTGCCTTCGACGTAAGATGTGACTTGCTCCTCCTTGCCTTTCGCCATGATTGTGAAGCTTCCCCAGCCGTGTGGAACTGTAAGTCCAATAAACCTCTTTCTTTTGTAAATTGCCTATCTCAGGTATGTCTTTATCGGCAGCGTGAAAATGGACTAATACAGTCAACATATCTAAAAATTAACTTAAAGACCCAGCAGCTTATCAGGTGCTGCCCTTTGGCCCCAGAATGTTCTCTTGGATAATATTTTGCCATCTTCAAGCAGGTAAAGAAAGTGCCAACCAAAGTTATTATGTATCTTCTGATAAGCAGGTTTTAATCCTTATTTGACCAGTTTTCATGGACAGATTGATTAGCCATTTCCTCTGTTTGCCACATACTTTCAACAGTCTTTGACTCACTAGTTTACATTGCTCGTTCTGTTTAGATTAAGCTTTTGGCATTAAATTATTGCTTGGTTTAGTAATACTATGATTGTCATAAAAATCACTGCTATATTATTAGTTCATTTATTGTCATCAAATAAATTAAACAACAACATACTTGTATGTATAATACTGTGAATGCTAAAAGCCATTGAACTGTGCACCATTTTGAATAGGTGAATTGTATGGTATGTGAATTATGTCTCAATAAGGATGTTAAAAAATAACTCACACTTCCCAGCATCTAAGGACTAGGATAAAAAAATAAAAATTCATAATTTCTTGAGCATACTGATTATTGCTCACTGTACATCATTTTGTCCTTTCCCATTCACTTGCTAAGAAAGTGAGGTTCAGAAAGGAGAAGTGACCTGTTTGACAAGACAAAGTTGGTTATTGGTAGAATCAGAGCTGGGACCAAAGTCTCTTCATGCCCAGTCTAGAACTCATTTTGTTTTTATAATTTTGTCCCCATGTTGGCAGTTGTACAGTGGCATTTGAGGAAGTTTTACTGAGTCCTAACTCAGTATAAGGACACTTCTTCTGAGACTGTGGGTGAACCCTTGGACTTCCTAAAATGCTACTCTTTTTTGATTTTTAATTTTTATAGGTACACAGTAGGTGTATATATTTATGGGTTACATGATGTGTTTTGATACAGGCACCCAATGTATAATAATCACATCATGAAGAATGGGGTAAAATGCTATTCTCATGCTGAAACCGTCTATGGTTATATTGATTGGAATTGCCCTTCCAGAAAAATTAAAATTGAAAAGTAGCACCATGGTGTATGTATAATTATAATGATTTCATTCATAAGATACATGATTTCATTCATAAGACACACAATTTCATTCATAAGATACAAAGGAAATTGGGGGATTTTTTTTTTTTTTTTTTGTATTTATGAGAAACAAGGGAGAAGAGCTACCTGAACCTATTTAGGGTTTGGATTCAGGTGCAGGGGATTTCAGTCACAGCTTAGCACGCTTTTACTCTACCTTCCATATTGAGTCAGGATCCCAGGGGGGAAGTAAGTTGTGTAGCAGCCCCCGGAGTACTGCTCCTCACACCAGTTCTTTTCTTCATAATGCACTGGCTGCAAGACAGAGCGACAAAAACTTAAAGGAGACACAGAGAAAGCTATCTAACCTGGAATAAATCGGACAGTTTAGTAGGCTTTGTATTGTCAAACCAATGTATTTCAGAAATAGAGTTGCATTATCCTGATGTTTTAAAAGATACGTCTTTGGGCAGGTAAATGTCATAGGTAATAAGCTTCTAAGAAATTCAGATTTTAGAATGTTTTTTTTCATTTGGTTTCTTCATATCTTAAGTATTGTTCATAAATTGCAATAGTCTAATTCCATTTTTACTTTGGTCTTACCTATTAAAAAGTTTTAGTGCCTGATGGTTTCAAGAAAAGTTTTTAAAAGGATTTATGTTTACTGGAGTGGCTGGATAGGAAAAAAGGGCAGAAAAATATGTCTGTTGAAGAAAAAGGATTATTAGGTTCATGTTTTGGTGGAGGTGAGCTTTCTTGAGGGAAGCTGAACAGACAAACTTACGTTTTTGTGGCAGGCAAGCACTTCTGTTGATGGCGGTATTTGTAAACGACCATTGGTCTGAAAAACTTGTTTTTGCCATGAACAGGCAAAACTGGCCAAGACTTTGTAAAGTTCAAATGCTTTTTTAAAGTAACCGAACAGAAGCTTTATCATTAAGCATTACTTCAAAAAGATAAAATCAACGTAGCAAGTTTTAAGAAAACAGTGTTTTTTTTTGTTTGTTTGTTTGTTTGTTTTTGTTTTTGTTTTTTGAGACGGAGTCTTGCTCTGTCACCCAGGCTGAAGTGCAATGGCCAGATCTCAGCTCACTGCAAGCTCCGCCTCCCGGGTTTACGCCATTCTCCTGCCTCAGCCTCCCGAGTAGCTGGGACTACAGGCGCCCGCCACCTCGCCCGGCTAGTTTTTTGTATTTTTTAGTAGAGACGGGGTTTCACTGTGTTAGCCAGGATGGTCTCGATCTCCTGACCTCGTGATCCGCCCGCCTCAGCCTCCCAAAGTGCTGGGATTACAGGCTTGAGCCACTGCGCCCGGCCAACAATGTTTGTTTTAAAGAGAGATTTTGAAAAATATTTTGTTTAAAATAATTGCAATCACACAGCTGACTTCGGACAGTCATTTGTAAAGCATCCTATTTACAAAGCATGATTATGAGGTTCCGCCTGATGGGTTAAGTGGCTCCAGGTCTTCTGTGGTATCACCATGCTACACCCCATAGCACCTGACGGCTACATCCACCTCCTAAGCAAGCTTCCCTGGCTGTCTGCAACCAATGAGAAGAAAGGGTGGACTTTATCTTTCACTGTGTCTTGTTCCCAGGAATTTCTTCCTTCCACAAAATAGACACCAAAGCAAAAATAAAACAAGCGGCCCTCTCCATGCCAAGAGCAAACAAGAACAGGACCAACTTATTTTTATCATCAGGAATTAATCATCCACACCCTTACTAGGAAAAGGGACTTTCTCAAATGAAAAATGATCAGCCTTTTTCAAAATATGAGGACAAACGCTTTCCTCTCCAACTGAAGTTCCCCAAACTCCCATCTCACGAGTTGTTGGAGGAACTTCAATTAACAAACTGCTCTAGCCTGGGAGTGTCTCAGAATGCAACTTCAAAAAGCTTGAATATCTACCAGGGTGAAATCTCTTGAATGGCTTTTTTTTTTTTTTTTTTTAATCAACTCCACACTCTTTATTCTCCAAATCTCTACCATTGAATGGCATTTTTAAACAGAAAACTAATAATTTTTAACAGATGTTAAGTGCTTTTTCTGGTGAGTATATACTGTATTTTTTGTTTTGATACTTTACTCAATATCCTTGAGCCTGGAGGCTATGCCTATATTTAAACTTGCTAAATGGTATATGAAAGCAAAAAAACAAAACAACAACAACAAAAAAGCAAAGCATATTCCTCATTCATATTGTTTCCCTAATTGTTCTAGTTTATTTGCTGAGAAACAATTCCAAGAAATATCAAGAGCATGTGTTTCGCCTGTATCAAGTACAGAAGATCTGCAATGGTGGGGCAAGGAGGGAGGGAGAGAATTTTGCTTTAAAATAGTGAACAAAAATGACAAATTTGAAAGACACAACAACTTGACCAGGAGGAAGCAAGTCACTCCAAAGCTAAGCAAAGTAAGTGTTGGAGTAATAGGGCTAAGTCATGTAGCTGCTCAACTAGATTATGGTATATACTACAGAGATTTGGATTTAAGAGGCTTAACAAGTTAAACATTCTCAGCCTCCTCATTAGACTTTTTTCATGCATTAACTGCTCATTTGTACATTGGTCTCTATTGTCTTCAAATGCTTCACAGATAACTGGATTTAATAATCACTTTCAAAAGGTGGCATAGTCTATGTCACAATATTAAAAACTTAACAGTCTGATGAATGTCATGAGAATGCCAATTCATCATTTTAAATAATGATGAGGGAGGTGATTATGGGTAATTGTTATGAGTACTTTGGGCCCTCTGTCACCAAATGCCCCCTACCCTGCCCCCATCCCACCTTTAACCACCTTAGAATTCTACTTGATTCATTTGAAGATCACCATTTTTTCAGGCTACTTCCAAAGGTGTCTAGAAAACTCAACTGGCAGACAGCCAGCCAGCCTGTCTTCTTTACATCTCTCATGTTCAAGGGTAAAACAAGGCAGAAAAGGGGCCACGCAGGAGTAGGGGCAGGTAATCTTATTTTTTAACTGTGGGGGATGGGGTAGGTATAGGTTTATGTACAGGAGTGAGACTCTGCCCTTTTTACAAGATCACCAAAGAGGGGAAAAAGCCCTTTTCATCCTCATCCTGGCTGCCGGGATCTAGGATCTTCCTATGGGTAGTAGAAGCTCCCCTCTTTTACCCTCCTAACAGAACTGGAAGCAGAGTGACCCAATGCCCTCTTCCAAGAAGAAACTCGGAATTCAGGGACAATGTAGCACCACCTAAACCATAGCATGTTGCAAGGTCCCTGACCTGCCACCAGCACAGCCAGGACCCACACTCTCTGGAACCACTTGTAAATTGACCAGTCCTGTGTAGATGCCTCTCCAAATATATTGGGAAAAACATGAACTTCAGGACCCCAACTTGCATCAACCTATCCCTGCTAGCCCCTTGGGGACAAAGAAAGATCTCTCACCCTTAGTATAGGGTTGGGAAGCAGCCTTACCTCCAGAGCTTCTGGGGAACCCAGAACCTTGGCATAGAGTTCACAAAGTTTCTTCAACCTGTGAACGAGAAGAGGCAAAAGTGAAAATAAAGGAAAGAAGGGAAGGAAAGAAAAAGTAGGAAAGAGGCATTTATCCCCTCATAAAAAAGACTCCACGAGCCATTGATTCCACTCCAACGTTTCATTTTAATTTTTCAAAACAAGGCATTTTGTTCCATTTCAGATGTCTTAAATCTTTGAGGTCACAAATATTAATCACACAGGATTGCTGGTAAGTCTTCAAGAAAGTAAAGTGATGCATTGCCTGAATTACGGTATTATTTTATTATTTTAAATCCAGGAGCCCTTTTGTTTGTGAACAAAATGTTTATGAAACAAATGTTTATGAAAATGACTAAGTTCTTCTCCTTCCCTCTCTTCCTTCTCTCTCTTTCTGTCTTTTTCTTTGTTTTTATACAAATGAAGTAACTTGCTGCAAGCAGAGGAATGGCTAGAAACAGCAAAGAAATAAGTACAGAAGTAGAACCAAATATATAAGGAAATTTAGAATTCATAAAGGTGGACATTTTAAGCCCACGGGGAAAAGACATTTTTCAATGAAATGGCACTGGGACAAACAGTTGCCCATGAAAGAAATAAAGTTGGATGCTTACATTATTTTCTTACACCAAAGTATATTTCAGAAGGATCAAAGATTTATATATAACAGGTAAAACCATAAAACGAATGGAAGAATGGGTGATTTCTAAAAAAATTATCTTGGAATGAGAAAGTCTTTTCTATGCATGATAGATACTCAGAAACTATGGTTTTAAAATGGATAAATTTAACTACATAAAAAGATAAAATTTTATTATAGTAACAGGATCAAAAGGCAAAGTGCGAAAAGATTTGTTCCAGGCATTGGAAACCCAGCAGTGAGCCAATCAGACAAAACATCCTACCTTCATGATCTTATGAATATGGGGGATATTTCTAGGGAAGAGGACCAGGCAGACCGCTACAGCCCTGGCCATGTGCAGAGGTAACACTGGTCATGGAGGAGAACCCTGATGGAATCGGAAAGCATGCATCATAATATAATTCAGGAGCTCTTTCCTGGTAAATACGTTATTAGCAGTGGTGTGGGAATAAATAATTGGCAGTGGTGAACACTAATTGCAAGAAGAAAGTGCCACCTCCAGAGAAATTAGTCCCTTTGTATCTATAGCCCGTAATTGTTATGCATCATTCATGTACTATGTACAGCAGACTTCCCCACAACACAGTAATTTTTCTACCTGGTTTATCTCTTTCACAAGCAAATTTTTAGTCCCTGGGTTATATCCATTTTCATATTCTCCATAGCCCCTAGCATAGTGTCTTATGTACAATAAACTCAATAAATATTAATTTGAAAACTTTGGTTCTTAAGTTATCAGCACTATGTCTTTTACAACAAGACCCTTATAATTAACATAGCAAACAAGTAGCATTGGCAATACACATATAATTAGGCAGTCTGTAAGTTAAAAAGTTAAGTAAAAATGAAAGGCAGGCAAGTAGGTAGAAAAGAAGGAAAGAAGGAGAAAAGGGAGGGAGGGACAGAGTCGGGGGAAAGGAAGGAAGAAACGAAAGAAGCAGCACTTCTTTTGTTACCTTTCCTCTTTGGTGAGACGTGCCAGTTTTCTGGCTTTGTGGGCTAGGATAAATCTAAAACATACAAACAAGAAAAAGGGGAGAAATTAATGGTTGCTTTCATCCTAGCCTCATTTTTGTAGCTACACATGTGCCCAGTTTACACAGTTAAAAGTCTACCAAAAGAAACAAACTATATACTAACTTATCTTACGTTCAAAGTTTTTGATTTACATGTCAAATTTCTGACACTGAAGAGCACTTTCTAACTTCAAGGAGTCAAGTGACTAGAAGTAGATGACTGGCCGTAATTTTTGCCTTGGATAACACTATGGCTGACCTACTTCCCCTCACCCAGCTGGTGGTCAATAAGAATAATCCTTGAGCCTCAAATGCCCACTTAAGGCTATGTCTGAGCCTTTCCAATTTCATCCAGTCCTTGCTCTTTGGTTTTGTCTCCACCGTGGTGTCTCCCTAGCACCCAATCTTCTAGATTCCATCTCAATTTCTAGCTCCATGATTGCCTTCAACTTACAATTGGCTTTGATCTCCCTGTTCTGACTGTTGGCTCTCTCTGAGATAAACTCATACATGTCCTAGGGCCCATCTTAATTTTGGATACTCCAGGTCACCACCTCTCTGGGCCAGAACTCCTGGTCTTCCCTTCCCATGTGCTGGTCTTCCCTGGAAAGCTGAAGACTAGGCTGGTCTTGGCTCTTCTCTACTGAGACTCAGAAATCTCAGCATCCCACTTAAGTAACATGGATGCCCACACAGCCTCCATAAGAAGTCTCTTAGTAAAACACCCCAAGTCAGGTCTTTTTATCATGCCTTCAACAAAAGATGGGTCACCAAAATGTTTCTACCCCCAACACTAAATACTAATAGAAAATTAACACAAAAATTTAAAAATGTTATTGGTATTCTGCTTCCTACCTAGATATTTATTCATTGGAAGACATTATTTAGAAAAGAACCAGTAATAAGTTTTATACTGCCGAATTTGAAAAATAGTGCCACTGGGCAAAAAAAAAAAAAAATCACTTAACAAAGTTTGGGGCACATTTGTTAATAGTATGTGATTACCTTGTCAACACTGAATAGCAACCACAACACCATAAATGTGCCTTACCCCATTATGGCGGCATAGTTGCCTTCAGGTTTGGTATCATCCAATGTGTAGGCAACTGGAGCTTCCTCTCCATCAATAATCATGGTTCCACAGTAATCTTAGAGAACAGCAAAATGGAAGAGCATATTCATCACTCTATCAAACTATCCATTGCAGATATAATGAAGTCCATGTTTTTAAACTTGAGAAGCCCAAAGGCCAAATATAGCATGTCATACTCCAAACATATGAAGGCAAACCAAACTGATGTCAAAGGAGGGCTAAGTAGCCAGCATTTTTTGAAAAAAATCAAACCATAAGCTCTTTTCTGCGAAGAATAAAGCATATGATATTAGGAATTCATCTAGGTCACCATTTAATGAAAACTGGTTTTCCTTGCAGTTAATACTTGGGCTTCCTGTTTTCTCTTTCATAAGAAATCAGAATAAATCCAAAGATGTATAAAGGAAATACCAGTTCATTACTGTAAAAAAGAAGAGACTGAACACTGATATTTTATGAGAAGTCACTTATTCTAAGTAGTTCTTTATTATCTGGAGGCAGTGTTTAGAGGAAAATTTATAGCACTAAATGCCCACAAGAGAAAACAGGGAAGATCTAAAATTGACACTCTAACATCACAATTAAAAGAACTAGAGAAGCAAGAGCAAACACATTCAAAAGCTAGCACAAGACAAGAAATAACTAAGATCAGAGCAGAACTGAAGGAGATAGAGACACAAAAAACCCTCCAAAAAATCAATGAATCCAGGAGCTGTTTTTTTGAAAAGATCAACAAAATAGATAGCCCACTAGCCAGACTAATCAAGAATAAAAGAGAGAAGAATCAAAGAGATGTAACAAAAAATGATAAAGGGGATATTACCACCGATCCCACAGAAATACAAACTACCATCAAAGAATACCATAAACACCTCTACGCAAATAAACCAGAAAACCTAGAAGAAATGGATAAATTCCTGGACACATACACCCTCCCAAGACTAAACCAGGAAGAATAGAACAATAACAAGTTCTGAAATTGAGGCAATAATTAATAGCCTACCAACCAAAAAAAGCCCAGGACCAGACAGATTCACAGCCGAATTCTACCAGAGGTACAAAAAGGAGCTGGTACCATTCCTTCTGAAACTATTCCAAACAATAGAAAAAGAGGGACCCCTCCCTAACTCATTTTATGAGGCCAGCACCATCCTGATACCAAAGCCTGGCAGAGACACAACAAATAAAGACAATTTTAGACCAATATTCCTGATGAACATCGATGCGAAAATCCTCAATAAAATACTAGCAAACTGAATCCAGCAGCACATAAAAAAGCTTATCCACCATGATCAAGGCAACTTCCTCCCCGGGATGCAAGGCTGGTTCAACATACGCAAATCAATAAACATAATCCATCACGTAAACAGAACCAATGACAAAAACCACATCATTATCTCAATAGATGCAGAAAAGGCCTTCGATAAAATTCAACAGCACTTCATGCTAAAATCTCTCAATAAACTAGGTACTGATGGAACGTATCTCAAAATAATAAGAACTATTTATGACAAACCCATAGCCAATATCATACTGAATGAGCAAAACCTGGAAGCATTCCCTTTGAAAATTGGCACAAGACAAGGATGCCCTCTCTCACCACTCCTATTCAATATAGTATTGGAAGCTCTGGCCAGGGCAATCAGGCAAGAGAAAGAAATAAAGTATCCAAATAGGAAGAGAGGAAGTCAAATTGTCTCTGTTTGCAGATGACATGATTGTATACTTATCATCTGGAGGCAGAGCAGAGAGGACATGTATAACTAAAATTCATAGAATCCCAAACCCTCATTTCAAACATGCCTTCCAAAGACTCATTCCCCCGTCAAGAACAACTGGAGAAACAATTGCAGCTTATCCTAGATAAGAGTGTCTTCCTCAGTTCCCTCCTGAACAAAATACAGGCACACCTCAAAGATAATGTGAGCTTCATTTCAGATAAAGGAAATAAAGTGAATATAGTAATAAAGCAAATTGTGTCAAAGAAATTGCTCGGTTTCCCAGTGCATATAAGTTATATCTACACTACACTGTAGTCTATTAAGTGTGTAATAGAATTATGTCTAAAATATGTACATAATTTAAACATACTTTATTACTAAAAAAGCTAACAATCATCTGAGCCTTGAGTGAGTTGTAATCTTGTTGCTGGTGGAGGGGCTTGCTTCTATGTTGATGGCTGCTGACTGATCAGGGTGGTGGCTGCTGAAGGTTGGTGTGGCTGTGGCAATTTTAAAAAAGAAGACAACAATGAAGTGTGCCACATCAATTGACTCTTTTTTTTAAGAAAAATTTCTCTGGAGCCTGTGATGCTGTCTGATAGCATTTCACCCACGGTAGAACTTCTTTCAAAATTGGAGTCAATCCTCTCCAACCCTGTCACTGCTTTATCAACTAAATTTATGTAATATTCTAAATCCTTTCTTGTCATTTCAACAATGTTCACAGCATCTTCACCAGGAGGAGTTTCCATCTCAAGAAACCACGTTCTTTGCACATCCACAAGAAGCAACTTCCCCATTCAAGTTTTGTCATGAGATGGCAGTAATTCACTCACATCTTCAGGTTCCACTTATGATTCTAATTCTCTTGCTATTTCCACCATATCTGCAGTTACTTCCTCCACTGAAGTCTTGAACCCCTCAAAGTCGCTCATGAGGATTGGAATCAACTTCTTTCAAACTCCTGTTAATGTTGATATATTGACTTCCTTCCATGAATCACGAATGTTTTTAATGGCATTGACAATAGTGAACTCTTTCCAGAAGGTTTTCAATTTACTTTGCCCAGATCCATCAGACAGGCAGGAGGACTGTAAGGCAGGTATAGCCTTACAAAATGTATTTCTTAAATAATAAGACTTGAAAGTTGAAATTACTCCTTGATCCATGGGCTGCAGAATGGACATTATGTTAGCAGGCATGAAAACAACAATAATCTCCTTGTACATCTCCATCAGAGCCCTTGGGTGACCAGGTGCATTGTCCATGAACAGTAACATTTTGAGGAATCTGTTTTCTTCTTAGCAATAGGTCTCAAGAGTGGGCTTAAAATATTCAGTAAACCATGCTATAAATAAATAGGCTGTCATTCAGGCTTTGTTGCTGTTTGATAGCATTTATAGACCACAGGCAGAGTAGACTTAGCATAATTATTAAGGATCCTAGAATTTCCTGAATGGTAAGTGGACATTGACTTCAACTTAAAGTCCCAGCTGCATTAACTCCTAACAACAGAGACAGCCTGTCCTTTGAAGCTTTGAAGCCAGGTACTGACTTCCTTTCTCTAGCTATGAAGGTCCTAGATGGCATTTTCTTCCAATATAACGCTGTTTGGTCTACATCAAAAAACTTTTGTTTCCGGTCGGGTGTGGTGGCTCTTGCCTATAATCCTAGCACTTTGGGAGGCCAAGGCGGGTGGATCACTTGAGGTCAGGAGTTCAAGACCAGCCTGGCCAACATGGTGAAACCCCGTCTCTACTAAAAATACAAATATTAGATGGGTGTGGTGGCATGCGACTATAACCCCAGCTAAAAAGGAGGCTGAGGCAGGAGAATCACTTGAACCCAGGAGTCGGAGGTTGCAGTGAGCCGAGATCATGCCCCTGCACTCCAGCCTGGGTGAAAGAGCGAGACTCCATCTCAAAACAAAACAAAACAAAACAAAACAAAACAAAACAGTCTGTTGTTTAATGTAGCCACCTCTTTCAATGTTCTTAGGTAGAACTTCTGGATAACTTGCTGCAGTTTCTTCATCAGCCCTTGCTGTTTCGCCTTGCACTTTTATGTTATGGGGAGAAGGCTTCTTTCCTTAAACTTCATGAACCAACTTCTGCTAGCTTCACACTTTTCTTCTGCAGCTTCAACTTCAATTGAAGAGAGTTGGGGGCCTTGCTCTGGATCTAGGCTTTGGCTTAAAGGAATGTTGTGGCTGGTTTGATCTTCTATTCAGACCATTCAGACTTTCTCTATATCAGCAATAAGGCTGTTTTACTTTCTTATCATTCATATGTTCACTGGAGTGCACTTTTAATTTCCTTCAAGAATTTTTCTTTTGCATTTACAACTTGGGTATTTGGCACAAGAGGCCTAGCTTTCAGCCTATCTCAGCTTACGATATGCCTTCCTCACTAAGCTTAATCATTTCTAGTTTTTGATTTAAAGCAAGAGATGTGCAGCACTTTCTTTCACTTGAACACTGGGGAGACCACTGTAGGGTCATTCATTGGCCCTATTTCATTACTGTGGTGTCTCAGGGAATAGGGATACCCAAGAAGATGGAGAGATCTGGGGGAACAGTTGGTTGACTGAGCAGTCAGAATACACACAGCGTTTATCAATTAAGTTTGCCATCTTATATGAGTGCTGTTTATGAAACTCCAAAACAATTACAATAGTAACATCAAAGGTGATCACTGATCACCATGACAAACATAATAATAATGAAAGTTTGAAACATTGTGAGAATTACCAAAATGTGATACAGAGACACGAAGTGAATACACGCTGTTGGAAAAATGATGCCAATAAACTTGCTCAATGCAGGGTTGCCACAAACCTTCAATTTGTAAAAAGTGCAATTATCTGTAAAGTGCAATGAAGTGAAGTTCAATAAAAAGAGGTGTGCCTGTATATACAATTTCAAAAGACGGTAACAGGGCACTAGTGAAAATGTCAGGGCAGAGTCTGAAATGTTATAACAATATATTACTGCAGTGTACCACTCCTCCTGCTCTATCATTTCCTTGCAAAATTGAGGTTGTTTGAATAAAATTATTGTGGAAGACTCAGCGGCAAATGTTGTATAGAAAACCCAACAAGAAGATTTCAAAATAAGGAAGAAAGAACAGAGAAAGGACCTCCCCAACCTGTGTGCAGATATGTGTGTAAGCAGACAAACCAGGAAGCCTTTTAAAGGGAACTTGTCTCTTTCTCTCCTCCTGCACCCCGCCCCACTGTGCACCTGTTAGAATCAATGTCCCAATCAGCCACTGGCTTGAGGGGTGCTTGAATGTCCTTCAGATGTGCTGGGGCAGGAAAAGATGTTGAGAAAGAC